AATTGTTAGGGCGACATGAGGAGATGCATTCGTTCGGGAGGCAGTTTTTTTTCTAAGAAAGCAAGGACGGTAAACGGATTGAGTCTATATATGGGCCTAGCCGCCACCATTTAGATTTTTATAACTCAGGAGATTCGTGATAAATGATCGCAAATGATTCTAAAGGGAGATTCTATTGTGAGTTTGATCTCTGTTTAATTCCTTGGTTGAGTATGGATCGATGGTGTGATTAGTTGATGTTGAGAGTATGCTTATTGCTATGGTGAATTGGTGATTGGTACGAGAATTTTGAAGAGGAATTAAATGGGAATGGATTTATATGGTTGGTACAAAACTGTGAAAGGTTTATGATTTGATTGGTTAATGCTGTTGGAGAAGAGGAGGTATTTGTGGACGATGATAGGAAGGAGATATCATCATGGAACATTCTCTAATTCTGTATTTCTTATCTTAGTTGATTATAGAATACTTGAGTTTCCCTTGTAATTGGTTAAAGATTGCTAATATGGCCATTCCTGCCATGATGCATTATTCAATCCTGTACTGTGGATGCGCTAAATCATGTTCTCTGACCGATGATTTTTGGCTGGAGTGAAGCCACAAAGAAATAAATAGAAAAAACATAAATGAAACATTGTGTTCAGTGGTTGTGGGACAGATGGTGGAGCAGCTAAAATGGAAGCTTTGCTACTCTAAATATGTCCCAAGGAACTTTCTTTGCATGAGCCAACCTTGAGGATTCCTGGCTTGTGATCATTTCCTATAATTGTGCATTCTGGTCCAAAAATCATTGCAAAAAATTGGTAACTTCCCCCCTAACACGCAAGGGTAGGAAGAAAGATGGGTCTTTTGATGCGGACCTCCATACTAGGGGTGAAGATTCAATTTTCAGCGTAGAGTCCAACACGTGACTTGAAACTGATTGCGTATACAAGCTTGTCTAAAATTAGTTCTGGCTTAACTATTTAATTTCAAGCTAACTCAGATTGACATTTTGTTCGATTTTAGAGTTGGCTCAGAAGTTGAAAGTTGTGTGGTATCTTGGCTACTTTGCCATCTTTTAAGTTTAGCGAATGCTGATCTTCCAGTTACGATCCATACCCAGCAGTTTGACATGAGGTATTATATTTTCTTAAAAATTACTTCAGGCTGGAGAACTTTTGCTTCACTGCTTCGAAAAATTCTAGTTTGATGGTAAGCTTGGAACAATTAATTGAAATAGGCCATTGTAATACAAGAATGGGCGATGGAGACTGGCTCCGCTAACTCTTCACATTTTGCATAATTACTTCTTCCAATTGCAATCTTTCTATCTAGTTGCATTATTTTCACTTGACTGCATAAATTCTTTGATGGATTTTTTTCAAATGTTCTCTTATGCCATTTTGTCTGATTTAGGATCGTACGTGTTGAAAGCCGCGGTGCTCCGAGTTAAGTGGGCGTTACTGTGTTCCCTGTTTTCGTATCTAATGCTGTCACCCTTAGTATGATTGCGCATCTGTCATTGATGATATAAATAGTCCAGCAATTCATGTGAGTTTCTTTTCAAAATATTATTCACCTTTCTTGATTCATAAAATGACAGGTAGAGGTTAACTCAATAGATGTTTCCAAGTTCCCACTGCGCCAATTCAAAATAAGGCCTCTCAAGAAGAATATAGATTTGTAACCGAGATAGTACCCTGCTTACGAACTTTTGGATGCTGAAGAGAGATTATCCTTCAGGGTACCAGAATGAAATGGGGTGAAGCAGTTCAAATCATAAGCAAGGCTCTTAAAAGTTACCTGAAAACAGCCCATGAAAATGCTACTTGTGGAGCTTAGGAATGGTGGCAGTGGTGGAACTTCTTGATCGCAACCAGCACTAAAATCCCTCCCTTTTCCCCCTCCCCCCTTTGGAAAAAGTTTCCCCCCCCCCCCCCCTAAAGCCCTCATCGTTTCCACTGTTCTAGTGGTCAAACCGGAGCCATATTGTTGAACACTCGGATTAACTTTGTTTCCATCTGTTGTTGACATTGTGGTGCAACAATGTCAGTAAAGTATATGATCAATTGCTGCAGCAGCTGCCTCAAGGAATGGCCATTGGAAGGTTAACTGCAGTTTGATATTTCTAGTGAAAATTAACTCGGAAACACAACCGTGGTCAAAAATAACCCATGTTTGGTGTGACCACTCCTTGTGTTAGCTGTTTAAAAAAAGAATTAATTGGAGGAAAGGATACGAGACACTTAAATTTCATGCCACTGCATCGGTGGTAAAGCTATGGAAGAGCTGTTGTCAGGATGATTTTATTCAGGTAATATTGTATAACTTTGTAAAAACAATTTAAACTTTACTTACAAGAATTGATCAGAAAACAATATGAAAACTTTCATAGTAAACTACCAACACAAGTTTCCCTATTGTTCTGGAATCGCATGCAATAATTTTAGTAGCTAACTTTGGTGTCTTGAAGACTGAATACTGAAATACCCTTGGAGTATGAGGTGAAATATTGAAAAATGCCATTATAAACTATACAGAGAAGTATCTGCATGGAGTATAAGTAGGCATACCATTTTATACTGTGAACAAAAGAAATGTATAAGTGAATTTGGCTGTGAATCATTTATTTTATTGCCCATCGTGCAGTAGAGAAAGCAAGCCCAAACTAATGGTAAACATAATCTTTAATTTCCATTGAAGAGCAATGATTGGACCTTTTTTTTCCCCTTGTGAACAGGACACAACATTGATGAACTGTTTAATAGTGGTAGATTAGCAAAGAGATTAGTGTCATGTCCTAGAATCTAATTTGAAAATAAATTATTTTTATCTTTTAATATCATCCATTACTAACATTATCAATATTCAAAATAAATATATACTCGTATTCATTCTCAGTATCTATATAATATCTACTACAGCAAACAAACAAATAACATAACCTGAGAATTCTGGCCATCCTCACATTATTGATCCTCTCCCTGACTTGAATCCATTTAATTATAATATATAAACTAAAAACCTAGCAGGTGAAAGTTTTACCTAACGCATAATTGAACTTAATTAAGAAGTGACAAATACCTAACAGTATTACAACAAAAGTCATACTGAGCGAAAATTCACATTTTCAATAATAATCAAATTATCAGATATACATAAATAATATTATATAGGCGTCAAAATAAATTTTTGAGTAGGCAAAAGAATTGGCTTTATTTTCAAAAATTACCCAGCGAAAATCCCTAAATAATAATACTCAAACCATTCATAAATCTTTATCTTTATACATATAAAATTAGCGCGGTGAAAGTTTTATCAATACAAAATTTTCTTATTTTCAGTAACAGAAAATACAAATTGATCAAAAAAATACTATAAACATTAAAATATTGAAATCAGAAATAGGGTAAAGGTTCCCTTAAGTGAGAACGAGCAAATTTTTCAATAGGTTCAACTGCCAAAAGCCGCTTTGCGATCTCCAAAATCCAAGAATTTCTTCTTCGTCCGCACAATTTCCTAATTTTATCTATTACCCGCTTTTCTTTTAGTCGAAATTCATTGGGAAAATTGATTGAAAATACTTATTTCATGACTTGGGCTTAATGAAATGGATTATATTTTTTTAATAAAGAATAAAATTATCATATAATATAATTACTAATTTATTCAATTTTTTAATTAAAAAAATCCATATAAATCTATTTGGGACTTAAAAATAATAGAAAAAAGTATTCAATAAAAATAACACATTTTATTTAAAAGACTGGTGAAATCAATTTGTAAAACAGACACCCTAATGGTGCCCAAAAATGCCTCACATTGTATTGACAGATGTCAATTTATTAAAGATTTCCAACCGGCGCTCAAAATTAGGAAAAATTCTGGAATTTCTATACGTATCTGATTGATGACTAGCCTTAATCGAAAGTTCTCTCTCGTGATCGAGAGGGGTAATTAACTATAGGGGCTTGCGCCTATAGGAAACCAGAACTCAGATCATAAAGTCCTCGCAAAATGAGGGCGAAATCTCTGGGTAGTGTCTTATCTACAAACCCATCTGCCTTCCAAAATTTACCTCGGAACTTAGTTCGTTAAAACTCCCTCGCCGAATAAGAAAAGCGAGTGGAGGCCGAGGCCGAATTTTCGGAGCCCACAATTATACTTTTTCAACATGCATGCAATTATGATTTGTCTTTGTTAGTGCTCATTACTGTAAATTCCAAACATGAAACATTTTCCATCAAAATAGTTCAATTCTCCCAAGTCCACTATCAAATGATCTCAAGCATGCTATTAGAATAGACTATTAGTGGAGAAATTGCAAAGAAAAAGGGAAAACTTTAACAAAGCCATCAACTGTCTTTGCATCCCACCCAACATAAAAAATAAAAAACCAATCATTTATCTTGCACGAATTTTTAATATGTTGAAATAATCATCTTAAATTATGATCTTCTCTAAAAAATATGTAATCCATTTAATTGTTAAAGATATATTTTAAGTATTTTCTAACTAAAAATCTATTATTAATCTTTTATTCATTTGCAGGTCTACTATTTCACTTAATATATGACACATGTTCCTAGTATATCTTTATTATTATTATTTTTTTAATCAAATAAGTTGATAAATTTATCATATAATATAATATAACTTTGTCTATAATAATATCTAAAAAGACAGCCCACTAATTGTCAGGATAAAATAAGAAATATTTTTTTAAAGCCACATGATAATTGCTCTTCATAATTAGGTTTTTGACTTGGAGAAAAGGCAGGCACCATCTCCAATTTGTTCATTCAAAAAATAACTCATGCCACATATATAAATCACCTCTTGTTAGGATTGGGATTTTGTACTGTCTTACTGTAAAACTTTTTTTTATTAAGATGTTAATGAGGCTTAACAGTTTAACAAGAATTTTTATTAGCCTAAATAGAGATCAGCTTGAGCTAGTTTATAACCAAATTTTATTCAACTCTAAGATCACATCAAACATCTTCAAGCCACTGTTGAGCAAGAATCTTTAATTTAAGAGCCCTACCTTCAACTTGTGCACCAAAAAACTCTATATATGTACTTTGATCTATGAGGCCTTACATAACTTCATTTCCTAAGATCAGTAAATAATGGCTACCTCTTTTATCAACTCTCTTCACAACTTCTTCCTCCTCCTCTGTGTTCTTCTTCTTACATTACTTTTTATGGTTCTGAAGATTCAATCCAAGAAAAAAAATCAAAGTATTATTTCAAATTCTCCACCAGGAAGCTTAGGATTTCCATTAATAGGAGAAACGCTGGCTTTCATCTCTGCAAATGGCTGCATCAAAGGGCTTTATGATTTTGTTGAAAGAAGACATCTAAAGTATTATAATACCTTTATTAATTTTCTTTGCAATATATCATCTTATTTTTCATTTTTATTCTTTATAAAATCTTTTCGCTGTATGTTGTGTTCCTTTAGAGCAATAAAAAATATATATTTATTATGAAAACATGAGAAATTTTGAAAACTATCAATCCTAAAAAAGAGTTTTGAATTTTGATGATACTTTGAAGCTATTGTTTTGTTTTATTAAACATAAGAATATTATTTATGTAAATTTTTTTATAATTTAGTATGATTATTAGAAAAAAAAAAAGAATTAATTAGGTGTATATTTTTGCAGGTATGGAAAATGTTTCAAGACAAAAATCTTTGGAGAAACTCATGTCTTCCTTTCATCAACTGAATCTGCAAAATCAATTTTAAGTGGGGATTCGATTGATTTCTCCAAAAGATACATGAGATCAATTGCAGAATTGTTAGGAGATCAAAGTATACTATGTTTATCTTATCAGAATCATAAGTTTATGCGTGGAATCATATCGAATCTCTTCACATCAAATTCCATGGATTCTGCAATCAAGAACTTTGATGAACTTGTAATCAGAACAATGGCTGAATGGCAGCAAAATGAAGCAGCAGTGGTGCTTAATGATGCTATGAAGGTGAGGGTCTTTAATTAACTTTTTTTTTTTTTTCATGTAGAAAATACAAATGTTGATTCAGCTATTTGAATATTTTATTAATTTCATGATACAAATTTGGCAAACCTCACAGTCCCTTTTTCTGAACACTACAAAGTAATGTTAATTAAGTGTTTGGCCTAATCAATTAATGAGAAAAAAAACAATGTCAAATTAACATAATTTTTAATCAGAAAAAAAAAATTCATCATAAATTCTGCTCTTTTTTTCATTTTCAACTTATTCTGTCAGATTACCTTCAATGCCATATGTAAAATGCTGATAAGTTTAGACCAAGAAGAAGAATTAGAAGCACTGCAAAAGGATGTATCTGAAATAAGTGAAGCAATGGTAGCCTTTCCTTTGAAATGGCCTGGAACTAGATTTTTCAGAGGAATCAAGGTAACATATTTATAAATGGAATATTTTATTTTTTAGTTTTATACATGTAGGTTTAATATATAAGAAATCATTATTTTCAATTATTACTTGTATTGCAGGCTAGGGAAAGAGTCATGAAAGCCTTGAGGAGAAAGATAGATATGAGGAGAAGGAGTTCAGACTATTATGAGGATTTCTTGCAGTCCTTGCTTGCAAGAAATGACATACAAAATGAAGAGCCATTATCTGATAGACAAATTGAAGATAATATATTGACATTAATAATTGCAGGTATGGGCATTAAATTTTTTTTCATTTTTCATGAGTAATTTTATGTGGATCACATTTATATTAGTCATGATCATCATTAGTAGACAAAGTGCTTATGAAAGAGAAATCTTTGATGTAAATTTTTTGTTAACATTTATTTATAAAGATGTGTATATATGTGCCTTTGCCTTAATTACTTATATTTTCATTTTATTGCTCTCTTTTGTACTGCCATCCAACATGTCTGTCACTAGAGTCACATCTAACAATTGAGTCTAAGACATCATTTGGAACGGCTTTCTTATTGCTTCTTAAAGTAATTTTTTAATAGAATAATTTTATTTTTTTTACTAGAAAGCTGCTTTAAGAAACAATAAGAAAGTTGTCCCAAACAAAACCTAAATTATATTCTCATGCATAGATATTACTCCTCGATCTATATAAGAGATCTAAAAATTTAAACCTAATAAAATAGGTTGATAATCATAAGTCTTTTTCAATCAATATCACAATCATGTTAGTGCTATAAGAAATTATTTTTTTTTCTTTTTTGAAGGACAAATTACAACAGCAAGTGCCATAGCATGGATGGTTAAATACCTTGATGAGAATCAACAAGTTAAAGAGACACTAACGGTGAGTTCCAAATATAATATTAACAAAAAAAAAATGCTCATTCAATTCGAACTCTTTTTTCATTATTACAAATATATATATATTTATTTTGATTATTTTCCATATTAGGCAAAACAATTGGAGCTACAATTCAAATTTTCCAGAAATGCATATCTAAAGCTTGAGACTTTGAGTGAAATGTCATATGCATCAAAGGTACACACCAACATAAATAATAGACATATAGACATGTTCTTTTAAGCTTTAGATTTAAATAGAAGAATTTATTTACTTGTAATTTTTATTTAATGCCATTTGTTGATGCTGCAAATTATAAATTGCAAGCTTTATCTTTACTATTGAATAATGTAGATTGTGAAGGAGTCCTTAAGGATGGCCACTATAGTATCATGGTTCCCAAGAGTGGCCTTGAGAGATTGCCAAATTGAAGGTACATTTAATTCATTTCTTAACAAATATCAGCAATTCATAGAAATGTAAAACTTAGATAGTTTGCTTGAAGATTTGTCATATTGTTTTGGTGAGAGAGTCTTATAATCTATTTGTGCATTCTCAGGCTTTCATATTAAGAAAGGTTGGATAGTCAATGTGGATGCGAGATCAATACACCATGATCCTATGCTATATGCTGATCCATTTGAGTTTAATCCATCGAGATTTGATGTAAGTTTCATTCAATTGTGTAAAATTAGAAATCTTATACAAACAATAGATTAATATATGAAAAACTGGTAACTAAATAAATGAATATTAAATGATGATGATAATAATGACGACAATGATGTGATGATGATGATGATGATTATATGATGATGGTGATGATAAATTTTTGATTGTATGAAGAGTCCTATTTAAATATGGTACTTCAAAATTACTCATATTGTTTTTGGAGGTAAAAAAAGCAAGTAGTTTTTGTTAGTTTTTATAAACTTATTGAACAAGAATGTCAGACCAAATATTTCAACTGTTTTTCTCTGGTCTTTTGGACCATTTTTGTCTCAAAGTTCTTACTGTGGATTTTATTTTATTTCATTTCATTTTTTTTTTCAGGTCGAACTGAAGGCTTGTAGCTTTCTAGCTTTTGGCACAGGAGGAAGAACTTGCTTGGGAATAAATCTTGCCAAAGCTTTCATGATGGTTTTTCTCCATCGCCTTGTTACTACATATAGGTAAGGCAACTACTGATCATTATATGATTGGTTGTATGAAGACTTTTGCCCAGACAAAGGATATATCTATGACATATATAGTTCATTGATTAAAACTTAGAAGAGTGAGAGATCAAGATTTATTTTGGATACATCACCAAAAATCATCTTGATCAAGCACTAATCTCCAGACATATTTAAACTAGAAACTTTCAAAATTAAATTTGGGACCATCCAAATTCCGATCTTAGCAAACTTACAATCAAACTAAGCGTCTTGACAAGATTAACCTAATGACTTCAAAATCGATCTAATCTCAAATGAGCTCAAATCAATGGACTGAAGCGTACTTAGAAGATTTAAAGCATTAATTGAGTAATCAAATTATCTCCAAATATAACATGCTTATAGACAACTCGAGCGGCCCGATGGGACAAATCCAACGAGCCCAAGATTAGTTAATTCTGACATCATTAAAGCACTTATAGGTTTGAAGAAAAGTTTATGATTAAAGGAATAAATATGGACCGTTTGATGGAGCACTCTTACATTTTCCAACCATCATCGCCAACAACCACAAGCAGCTATTGCCGCTGACAACCACCATCGCCACCAACGACCAGCTTAAAAAAATCACCACCTCTTCCAAAATACTAAGAAGATTAACCCTGTTGTTGGGTATATTTGTCCGCATGTGAACATCTACTTTCTATACTCTTTATAGGGATAATCAAAACTTGTTATTGGGAATTAACTATCCTTCTAAGGACACTAAATTTCTATACTTTTCCTCTTCTTCAACAATGAAGAAAACGAGAATCATTGTATCACTTTCAATATAGTGAATTTTACAACTAGGCTAGGCCCCGTGGTTTTTTCCTTTTTCAGGTTTTCAACATAAAAAGTTCTCTAGCCCCACTACTACTTTTATCTATTCGCATTCAATCTTTCTACAATGCTATGACATGAAATATACACTCTATCGACTCAAAATTTCTTGCACGCAATAGTTTTGCGCCATCTGTGGGAAAGATTCATGGCAGGGGGACAACCTTTGTTATAATCTCAAAAGGTCGATTGTTCACTTCAACGTCCTGGGCATGATTGAAATAAGATAGTCATTTTGTTATGATTTATTATCAGGTTTAAAGGAAGTCCTTCAATATTTAGGGTAACCTTATATATTGTTCTATCACCATTCAAGCATTAGCTATTGTTGCATCAATTTCGTGGAATAAGAATTGGACTTGTGGGACGTAACTTTGATTGCAACCTCAAATGCGATTGTGACCAAAAAAATGTTCTCCAATATTTTCAACATCCGAGACAATGTCACTGGCAACCATTTTTCATAAAGCTCCTAACAAATGCAAGAATTTTTCAAGTAAATTTCAAGCTCTATATAGTTCTCAGTTGAACTTTTGCTCCTTAGGCATGATCTTAATCTCGACCTCGAAAATGAAGTAAAGGTCTAAAGACAGACCAATCTTCAATTTTGATTTATGATACATGTGGCATTCGCTCCCTCTCAATCAAGGTATAATCGATACCAGGGGAACTCAATTTGATCATTTCCATAAAGGTTAATGTCATGGAGCAACGCTGTCACAAACAACATCGGACAGGTCAAACATCCTTAGTGGATCAAGCAATGCTCTGATAAACAACATATGATAGGTAAAATATCCCTTGTGAAATTTCTCAATATTTTTAATGCAAGTTAACAACATCAAGTAACACTCTAACAAATAACCCTAGGAAGGCACCCCATGAGATAACATCGAAGGGAAGCTAGTAATGGATAAAGTCATTACTAGAAAGATCCCACGAGGGCAAGTGGCAGACAGGGTCTCCACTTACAATCCCAAGAAGGCATATGTCCATGAGGTAGCCTCAAAGGGAAGCTATTAGTGGACAAGGACCACATTAGAAAGATTTTATGAGAGCAAGTGATTGACAGGGTCATCACTCATTCAAAAACCTTATAATGTAAAAGCCTAAGAATGTTCAGAATTATTAAAAAAATCTTTAAAAGTAAAGGCCACAGAAATAATACATGTACATAAAACCTTTGAAGGCTAAAACTCTCAAAAGGTAGATGTACACATAAAATCTCAAAAGGCAAAAGCCTTATAAGGTTTAGGATTATCCAAAAATCTCTAAAGGCATGCACCGCAAAAGGCACAGGCACATCCTAAGAACATCAATTCCTAAACTACTACAAGTTTGTTTAGGGAAATCTAAATCAAAGATTCCAACAACAATTGATTCAAAAAATACGAATCAGCTTTAACATATCACCATTCCACTTAGATCTCTACAATGAATAGAGTCAAAGTCGTGTGCATTGGATCAATTTACTTCATTGCATTGTTCAAACATATAAAAAAACTAGACCTTAATTAAACCTATTGTAATTGCTTAAAGTTTAATGCAATATAAGGCTTCATTTGGGATAGCTTTCTTGTTGCCTTCTAAAGTAGCTTTTCAGTACAAAATTTTATTGAACTAAAAATTTGTGTACTAATTTTTTTTTTATAAAACAATAAAAAAGTTGTCCCAAACGAAACCTAAATCTTAAAATATATCACACTCATCTAAGGATAAGTTTATTGGCTTTGAGACTTACTAATATTCTTTTTTTTTTCTTTGGTTATTCCTCAACTGTTGTTGAAACAGATTAAACAATTAAAGTCATGTCCAAAACTAAAAGTAAATTACTTGTTTGAATCAGGTGGAGAGTTACAGACAGAAACCCAAGCATGGCAAAATGGTCCATATTTCCAATGTTGAGGAGTGGTTGCCCAATCAAGATTGCTCCAATAGCCACACACAATGTGATACCATAAACTTGTTTATATTCAAATACTGAAAGCTTACTTGTAAGTTAATGAAATCCAATATCTTGATGATGTTGTGTATTTGATTCATGCTTAGTTTGCCCAGCTCATTCCCAACATCTAATCTAGATATTTTTAAATTTAATTAAATATTAATTACATGGTTTTTAATAAAAAAATATTTTAATAAAGTATATATTATAAATAGACATGCATAATAATATTAATCAATAGTTTAAAAATAGTTAATAAAATTAAGATGCATTACTTGAACCAGTTTGAATTTAGTTAAAATAGTTCCTACTTGATTTAATATCTATGATCATGCACACCGATTAAGCCCACCTAAAAATTTAAAATTCGTGATGTGATATTCTCAATACAATTATAGATAGATTAAGCTATTTTGAATTTAGAAATTTAATTTTACAACTTACCTACTAAAAGTAAGTAGTCCGACAAGACATTCAAATATTGACCATCCACTAAGGGTTCATGACTATGCTAAAGAGTTAATTATTTTGAAACATTGGCATAAAAGGATAAGACATATAATTGTACTTAAAGTCTTTATAATACTAAAGTATAGAGACTCTCTATTGATTCAGCAAATTGGTCATTGCCAACCTTGTCAATATAAAATCGAGTAATCCTACCATGCTCAAAGATCAGTCTGCGACAAGATTTTGGAACGTGATAACTGGGCTTTAGGTACTCATGTGTTAATTCAGCAAAGGCATCTTCAATCTTCTCCTCTATGTAATCTCTTACTTCTTGCTTCGAGCAATATTGTTTTTTCTTGTGTAGAAAGATTTCAATTTTTTCCTCTATCATTAGATTCTGAAACCATATAATAAAAAGAACTTGTTTATTAGTTGTTACAATTATGCAAATAAAAGGAAATTGGTTTAAAAAAGAATATATTGATGCACTTACAAGTAATGCAAGATATAAAGTCAGTTTTTCCTCGATTTTTGATATGTGATCCAAGCTTTTGAGTGCCTTATTCAATAGAAGATCTCCCATGAGGAACATGGAGGGTAATAATCTACTGGTGACTGCTAGCCCTCTCTTATATTGTTCAACATATTCTTCTAAGCTAGAAAATTGCTTTGCATCTTTAAACTCCCTCATCTTTAGATATTTTTGCACTTGTAACTTTCTCTGCCAAATGAACCAATTTTTTTTTGCTTTCACACTTCTTAGATAAGAATATAGATTATTCCATGAAGGTTTTTAATTTCAATGTTATCTTACTAGATCATGCAAGTAGGGGAACACATCATGTCCTTGTGCATTCTTGGCTTCAATTGCTAGTTCATTGATGGTATCATAGGCTCCCATAAATACTCGTTGCAAGGTGGGTTCAAGAACTTGCGCCACTGAAGGTTTCCATCTACAAACATTGTCAAATAACATATTATATATATTTTTCACCAATAATACAACGTGTAATACATGTAAACTTACTCATTTAGTGCTTGGCAAAATATTTTTAGATCATTGATGGATTCATGGCTTTGAAATACGTCTTTGAGTATGTTTTCAATGCAATTGCATTTGGTATAAGCTATCCTGGAGGCTGAAAATTCTGGCTCATATATAGCTGTGCATATAGAGAGATGGATCCCCCGTGGGTTGAACTGGGTTACTAGATGATCATCAAAACCATAAGAATTCAACCATCTGGGATGTAAAAAAAGAAAAAAGAAATTAGAAGCTTTAATAAAACTTTATCTTTAAGTGTATGTAGCTATGCATGAAAAACAACTCACGTAAGTATTGAATTAGCTTCCCCTGTGTGTATGGCATGAAGCTTATTATAGTCTAACTTCGCAAGCTCCAAGTATTTTGAATTATTGATATTGGACATCCTAAAACATAAGAATACAATAGTAAATATGCTACCAAACCCACCATATTATTTAATATACATGTAATTATTAGAAAAGATGCCAATTGCTTTACCTAAACATAGACTTGCCAATCCAAACATCATCATCTCCATAATTTCTTATGTATTCTTGAACTGCAAGCCTAGGAAGACTCATCTTCCATGGTTTTCTCAGTTCCCACTCTATCTAATCATTTTTAAGATTAATAGAATAAAGAATATATCCTATCTATGTTATATCTAATAAAAAGATCAAAGAAAGATGTAAATCACCTCCTTGTTTAAAGCTTTCTTTATAGCCCACTTATCATGCACTTGATTATCTCTGATGGTGTTTATTAGATGTTGTTTAGCAAAAGAATTAGCTTGTTTTAGTATTTTCTCTCCTGGGAATGCGATTTGGGAGAAGCGATACAAGGAAAAGGTATCTGAAACTCCTTTGTGTGTCTCACCCGCATAGCACATGAAGTTGTCATCATCATACTTAAAGTACTCAAGCACATCTGTAAAATTAGTTAAAAATGCAGGCAACATTAGCTTTAGTGCATGCAAAATGTGTCTATACTTGGCATATTTTAAAGAATGTAAATTCATAAGGTTAGTCTTGATTAAATAGTGAATTTATATTTTAGCTTTATATGGAAAAAGACTTACCAGAGGATACTGGGTAACCATGTAGCCTTAATAATAGCATTGTTATGCATGTATCATCAATATCAGTCAAATAGAGATCTCTTGCCCATGCAATCCCATCTTTTCTTAGATTTCTATACAATAACAAAAACTTACTATACATTATATGCATCGTTGAAACCTTGCATCAAGCATGATTATCTCTTACCTATATAAATAGTTAAGAGTATTGGAAATCTCTTCATGAAAGTGGTGATCTATTCCCAAGCGTTGGATTGTATCGACCATCCAGTTCCGCTCAAATATGTCAACAGGATATGCAAAAGGAACTGCAAATCATATAATAAAAAAATGGTAGTATATTATATCTAAAATATAAACAAATTAGTGTGATACATAAAGGGAACTACCATGATCTTCAAATCTCTTCACTATGTTGGTTAAGTATTCAAGACACTTCTTGTCATGAGAATTCAAATAAGCAGCTACAGTAGCGGAGGGGGAATCTGCGAAGCTTCCATTTGAAGATTGCAACTTCAAAATCCTATCCCATTGAACCAACTCTTGCAATGCTTCTAATGAGTGAAGCATCGTAGTGTGAACTGAATGCATTACTTCCACTGGAATCCTAGAGAAAATATTTTTGTAGTAAATATTTTAGTGGACAGAATTTAAGTCCATATGAGAGCCATCTTCATTTCATATATAATTTTAATTACCTCCTCTTCTTTTCCTCTCTAAGTGTAAAGATATGCTTTAAACATGGTAGCTCATAAGGAAGGCTAAGCCCAAGACTTTGAGCTTCTTCGAGCATTGAGGGAAATGTAATCTCAAAACCAACAAGTCTTCTATTGCTTTTTTCCTTTTCTAGATTAGGAATATATTTTTGCAAGAAATAAAGTCCTGTTCAGCAACAAAACAATAGTAAATCAAGTGAACATTGTAAAAACCATAAAATGCAAAATACATATAAAATGACCAGTGCATGCTTTGATTTGAATTTAACTACATAAACAAGTTTATCAATTCCCCCTATACATGCATTTTCTCATTATGTATATCATTTCACTGAGAGATCTCCAATCCATTATTAACCATTTATCTCTAAGAGATGTACTTATTCATTGAAGAAATAAATGGAATTTATAGCTAATTAAAGAGTTTATGAAAAAAAAAATATTTTTTACAAGAGACTCAATTATTAGCTCATTAATGAGGTAATAGGATTTTGAGAGAACTGTGTGAAAATCTATATTGCTTAACATATATAGGCCCCATAGGATACAACGCATAGTTCTTTTGTTTGTTTTATGTCTAGACAATGGATAAGACTTAAATTCTAAAGCATTTATCATTAAAATTAATGACTTTGTTTGGCTATACTTATTTTGCATGGCATTGCTCAATCCTTAATTACTTTTGGGCTATATTCAATGAGTTTTACATGCATGCCATAAGTGAGATATAAAGTAACAAAAAAGATATCCATCTTCTCATTATCTTTTTTATTAATGTAAGTTCGCTTTCGCAATAATGATAATAATAATAATAAATGTGACTATTAAGCCTTAAAATGATACTTAAACTTTTCATCTTTACGATTGAATGCTACAAGTCACAAAGGACCGTGCCTCAAACTTTCATAATTAAGTTTATAATAGTTATGTTAAAAAAAATAAAAATAAAAGAGTGTACATGCAAGCTTGGATGAGGAATAGCTTGAGGGTTCTATGACTGCTTAGCATCATAGAGTTTCGCGCTTAAGCTAATTTAAGTATATATCAACCCTAGGGCATCACGCTCCTTGCCTAGCTAATTATTTTCCCTTTACAAATGCCAAGTCTTTTCCACTCAAGATTTGGTACAAGCCATCCTCACCTATTTTCATCTTTTTGGAATGAAAAATGCTTTTTGGAGCTCTACTAGGGTTTTTTCTTAGCTTTGCTCCCGCCGCCTCCTTCAGCTCTTCCCGCCACTCCGTGGGGAGGGGTTCCTCCCCTCCCCTCCCTCCTTTCTTCTTCTAATGGCTTCCTCCTCTTACAACATGGAGTTTCCTCCTCTTCCTAGGGTCCCCTCGGCCTCTGCACCTGCTTTGCCTAACCCGGTGGGGTTAAACTTTGTCTCAAATCTTACAAAAGAGGACCCAGTAGCAAATGACTTCTCACTCTCCTTCGTCTCCCCAGCGACGAAAGTTCCTTTCTCTGCTGACAAGTTGGCTCTCGGTATTTCGGACTGGGGCTCATCACTTATCGGGTACTCTATAGGACCTCGCCCGACTTACCTCAGTCTTCTTAATGTCGTCAAACGGGCTTGGAACCCAAAAGGTTATGTTGAGCTTCTTCCGCTAAACGACGGCTTCTTCCTTTTCAAGTTCTCTGTGCAGGAAGACTTCCAGGTGGCTTGGACTGGAGGTCCTTGGTTCTTCTTTGGCAGATCGTTCATCATGCAAAAGTGGACTCCAAAGTTTAAACCCAAAAGAGATGAGTTTTCCTCTATCCCTTTATGGATTAAAATTGTTGATTTACCACTTGCGGTATGGAATCCCTCTGGTATATCTAAAATTGCTAGCTTTGTGGGTCACCCGCTTGCGGTTGATGCACTGACTGCTCGGAAAACCAGACTCACGTATGCGAGAGTATGAGTTATGGTTGCTTGTAATTCAACACTCCCTGATGAAATCCCTATCTCTCTCGATGGGGACGATGTTAATTTAAAAGTCCTGTACGACTGGAAACCCTCTCCATGTGCTGGCTGTGGATCATTTGTTCACCCAACTTCTCTCTGCCACATAAACCCTCAACCTAAAGCTCAAGTTATCACTGGCTGAGGCAGGAGCTCCTCTCGAGCTCGGACCTCCAAACCTCCACCACACTCTAAGCCACCGCTCATTACTCCCAAACCTCCCTCAACTATTACTCATCAAATCCAGAACCCCACTATCAATAATCAAACCCAGACCCCCAATGTCATTGCGACTATTCCTCACCCACCTCCTCCCTTCCCCAACCAGCACATCATTTCGGTTACTATCCAACAGACCTCGACAACCCAGGATTTGGTTCCTTCCAAGAAGGTGTCTCCCTGCTCTCAGGATGAACCTAAAGATCCTATTCCCAATTTAAATTCCCCCTCTGAAGCTCACTCTTCTTCCGACAATTCCCATTTTATGTCCAATACCCAGAATTCTCCCATTACATCCACCAATAATCTTTATCCTCCTTTGCTTTCAGGCTTCGTAAAATTGCCTGCAGACCCACCTTTAGCCTCTCCTAACATATTTGCGATTCTGCAACCTGAGGATGAACCACCTGACCTTGAACATACATCTTCTAGTTTGAGCCAGATTAATTCTAAGGTTCAAATAGAACAGTCTTCTAATGTTCCCCCACCAAAATTGCAAAAAGAGCCTGCTGAAGTTCATAAACCACCCAATGCCAAATCAGCCAAAAAAACTCGCCCTTCCAAATCAAAATCCAAATGATCCATGGACCCATTGGTTGCTGGAACGTCAGGGGATTTAACTCTACTGATAAATTTCTGGCTTGTAAACATTTAATCTCTTCTTTCCATCTGGACATGCTGTGCATCCTTGAGGAAAAAATCCTTGTTGCCTCAATGAGTGACCCATGGTTTTTAAACACCCACAGACTATTCTCAAATGAGAGGTCTTGCTCCAATTTTCATTGCTCTTCACCGGGCAGGATTTGGATAAAATGAAACTCTGACAATGTCTTCTTCAACCCATCCTTCACCTCCCCCCAAATTATTCATGGGGAATTGCGATCCCCCTCTATGCCACCGATTCTTCTCAGTGTTGTTTATGCTGCTAATACTACTATGGAGAGAGCAACTCTTTGGAATCAGTTGCTTAATTAATTTAGCTCCTAACATCAATTCACCCTGGGCAATTCTCGGAGATTTTAACTGCTGCAGGTTTTTGAATGAAAAATCTGGGGGAAGACCTCAATCCCACAGTCGTTTGGAGGAATTGAATTCCTGAATTTTCAACTCTGCTGTTTTGGATCTTCCCTCCACTGGTTTGTTCTACACTTGGTTTAATCAGAGAGCTGAAGATCCTATCCATATTAAGTTGGATCGTATTCTGGTTAATTCTATTTGGATAGATTCTTTCCCTAACTCTTTATATAGAGTGGAACCTCCTGCATGCTCCGACCACTCTCCCTTGGTGCTTTTCAATGGGAATTGTCATAATTTTATCGCCAGATTTCAGTTCAAGAATTATTTGCTGAACCTTAATGGTTTTTGGGAGGGCTTAATCTCTGTTTTTGCTTCTCAAAACACGGGCAGCCCGATTTCTGCTTTCTTCTCTAAACTGCATAGTGTTAAAGATTTTCTAAGAGGAAAGAAATGGACCAATTCCTCTTACCTCTCCATCAGAATTAGGGATTTGCAAATGGATCAAAATAATTGCATTTCTAAAATTCAAAGTAATCCCCAAGACCCTGCTCTGAATTCTGAACTGAAACATATTAACCTCAAGCTTGGCTCCCTTCAAAATGCATGGAGTTCTTGGGTTATTCAGCGTGCAAAAGCTAATTGGCTTGCTAAAGGAGAGGATGATTTAGGGTTCTTATTTTCTAGAATTAAATCTAGAAATTCCTTTAGCCGTATCAAAGAAATTTCTACTGAGGATGGTCAATTTTCTTCGCATAAAGACATAGCTAAAGCTGCTATTACTCATTTCCAAAAGCTTTTCAATGCTCCTAAACCTGCCAACTTCGGAAATTATCAAATTCCTATTGGGGATACTATTCCTACCCATCTTATACCCCCTCTTACTTTGTCGATCACTGATGTGGAGATTAAGAATGTTGTTTTTGCTGGATCATCCTCTAAAGCTCCTGGCCCAGATGGGTTTACCTTTGAGTTCTATAAGGGCACTTGGGAGATTATTGGAAATCAACTTTGCAAAGCTATAAAACATTTCTTTATTACTGGTTTTCTTCCCAAATGTGCCAAAGCTACAGCTATTGCTTTGATTCCTAAGGGTACACATGCTTCCACCTTCATGGATTTCAGGCCGATCTCTCTTTGCAATGTTTTTTTATAAGATTATTGCTAAAATTATAGCAAATAGGATGAAAGATGTGATGCCCTTCATCATTCATCAAAGCCAATCTGGGTTTATCAAAGAGAGAATTTCTACTGACAATATTGTGTTGGCTTCTGAAATGCTTAGGGATTTTAACTCCAATGCCAGAGAAATTTTTTTTTGTGCAAAACTAGACATCCGTAAAGCTTTTGATAATGTGTCTAGAGACTTTCTTTTATCCAGGCTTCTTGATAAAGGCTTCCCTCCTCTCTTTGTTAAGTGGATTGATGGGTGTATCAATGATGTCTATTTTTCTATTTGCATTAATGGTGGGCTTGAAGGTTTCTTTAGCTCTTCCTCTCGGCTTAGACAAGGGTGCCTGCTGTCACCTTTACTGTTTTCGGTTGTGATGGACGCCTTCTCATGTGAGCTTAATGGCAGTAATTTTGTTGGGATTTCTTCTGTGGGCTTCTCTGTTAAACATCTTCTTTATGCAGATGATATCCTAGTTTTTGGGAAAGCCAATCTGATGAATGCTGCTTTATTGAAAACCTCTCTT